ATTAAGTTGTGTGAACATTCTAGAGACCATATATGTCATGACTCTGTTTAATAGTTTTTAAATATTTTCAACTGGAAGAACTTCAACTTTCATGGTCGATCCAAAGTAAGGTGATGTGTCTAATGAGCTGTGACTCAGTCTCATGTACTGGTCTAATCTCAAATTAACTTCAAGAAACTCAAAGTCAAGATACAAACTGACATTAGTTGCTTAATTTGGTGGGTTAATTATCTTAATGCTGTGGGAGGAAATCCATGGTACATCTGAAGTTTGAATCTGTGTGTCACGTGAAGGAGAATATACAGGTTTCATGGGGTCTGAAGGTGCATGGCAAGGTGTTTAATTCCACAGGTGATGTGAATATAGTTGTTGAATGAGGCTTAAAAGATTTTTTTGTCATGTAGGAAGTTCATGAAACTGACCACCCCCATTGCTGTCTGTCTTTTCCCTTTGTAGACATTTTCAGGTCAATCCTTCGACACTGAGCACGTGGAGTCAGGGGTAAGTTCTCAGTTCTTAAAAGTCCTATTCAAATTTTTTGAGATGTACCTGTAAGTAGATAAATTTACCTGTTCAGCATTGAAAAGGAAAACTTATCGGCTTACTACTAGTCAGCCTTTTATTAGTCCACACATCCTCTGTGTTTATAGTTGCACCCTTGCAAACTATTCGAACTCAAAAATTCCATCTTGTAGATTTTAAATTAAGATTGAAAGGATTTCGGTCATGTGATTGTGATATAGTTCATTTTTAGTCTATGTTTAGGTTTCTACTTCTGGCAGTTGTATTTAGGCTTCAAAATTCATAAAAGTTGTGATCATGACTTTTGGGTTAGCCTACAAAAATACATAATCTCTGCACACATTATTTGGCCAAGAAATACAAAGTTATTATAATAAACTAGATGCTCCACATTCCCACCACCTTTCTTTAATGATGTTCCCATATACCAGGATGCTACTTCCCTTAACCATGTTATTAAATCAAGTCAAACTTGGTGTCAGTAAACACCAGAATGAAGTCACATGCCTTCCCAGTCACCAGATTTTTTTTTGAAACAGATATACATTTTCTTCATGTCTTGAGTAGTGTTGCAATATACAAATACACTGTTCAATACTTGAATGACATTTATGCAAGAATTACAAGTTCTGAAGGCAAAGGGGTGACCTACTTGTAATTTAGTTCTCAAGTCAACAGCTGTTTTTATTAGTTGCCTAATAGGCATAATGTTGTTGTTTAAAGGTGCATCACTAGTATGTCTTACTACCAAACAGTTTCACAGATTGTTGACCTGTGCTAATAATTTGTGACTTACAGAGGTACCGGATGCCTTCAATCGATGCATTTGACAGCTCAATCAGTGTTGGTGCATCCCGGGACAGTCGGCAGGGCCAGTGGCTGCGCAGAAGAAGGCTTGATGGTGCGCTCAACAGAGTTCCTGTAGGCTTCTATCAAAAAGTCTGGAAGATTCTGCAGAAGGTTGGAAGAATTTGAGAGGAAATTGTTATGCTAATAACATTAAATGGACTGTAAAACACACAGCAAAAGTTTTTTATGCAGAAGAGTGGGCTATATTAATTTATTGTTTTGTTTGTTTTTTGCCCACAGTGTCATGGCCTTTCAATAGAAGGCTTTGTGCTCCCATCTTCTACTACAAGAGAGGTTTAGGACCATTAAAAGTGTCTTAAAAACCATTTCACCAGTTCCTCTCATTGCTTTCTGTGGCACTGACTGTATCTCTCCCTCTCTCCAGATGACCCCGGGTGAGATTAAGTTTGCGGTACATGTGGAAAGGGTGCTGAACCGTGTCCCTCAGCCTGAATATAGGCAGCTGCTGGTCGAAGGGATCCTGGTACTTACAATGCTGGCTGATGTGGACATTCAAAGCATTGGCAGCATCATCCACATAGAGAAGATAGTTCACATTGCCAATGACATGTTCTACAAGGACCAGGTATGGGTATTTATCTGAAATGTTTTCAGTAACATGATTTCACCTGGTATTTATTATCATCAAATGTTAATTAATTTCCTTTCGCTGCTGCAGAAGGATCTTGGTGCAGAGGACAGTATTTTAGAAAAGGATC